CAGGCAGCACCCACTGGGCAGCACTATCAATAGGAGTGAAATGAAAAGACAAACAATGGGAGTTGGAGTACTGGCAGCAGCCCAGTGCCTTGTCCTGAGCTGAGCCTGAAGGCAAATGCTGGCAAGCTCTGCCCCTGAGCACTGCTGCCCTGCTGCACTGAGCATTTCCCAGGAAATTTCACCCCTGTGCTCCAGAGAGGGAATGTTCTGGAAAGGAAAAGAAGTTTTGAATCCTTGCATCTTTCTTATACTCTTTTTTAGCCTTTGTTTGCATGAAGGAACTTAATCTAGTTATTTAATGATTGAAGCTTTTGCTCACAGGCCTTTAATGATAATCACAATAATTCTTTTTTATCATGCTCATTCATACATGCCTCCTGCCAACATGCCCGAGGTGCTGCACAGACATTGCAAAACACAGTACAAATTAAACATAACAAAAGAAAATCCAATGAAATATTTAAAAGGACACATCTGATATTAACAAGAGAAAGGCTGTTTTCAAACATGAGGAATTTGAAGACAAAATTGTTGTGAACAGAGGGATTCTGGTTAGGTTCTTGCCACCAACCCTATCAAATCCACTTAACTACAGTGGATGAAATGTTTGTTCATTTCCCTCTGGATGGCATCTTCCAAGTACTTTTCTCATTTTATTATAAAATATTTTGAGATTACTTCTGCTTTGTATGCAACCCAGAAAATATATCTTTTTTTGATACCTGCAGTGCTACTATAATATGGCCATTTATGGCCATCAACTTTAAAACAGCTAAACTGACAATATGCCATATAGGAAAATATTATTACTGTGTTATACAGGGAGAGAACCAAGACAGAGTGGAGGCTAAGCTTGCCAAGATCAAACAAAGCTTGTGGTAGAAAAAGAATTTGCACCCAAGTCTTCCAAGTGCCAGCCTATCACCCCAACTAAGCTGCTCTAAATCTTCAGCTGTCACCAAAATACAAGAAATAGGGGGATTAAAATACAAATAAGTAAATCTGAAATCATGAAACAACAGCTGAGATCTTAAAGCAGAAAAATCATGCACTTGTATGCAGTTCATGAATGCTTATAGTACAGATGCCTCTCAAGGCATCCATGGCATGTGCAAATTTAAGGATCAATTTGATAAAAAATTTAAACTCTTTTGAATTTGAAAATAGAATTCATTTTTCATGTCCTATTTTTCTTGTGTAATTCTTAGCCTCTTGTCAGACAAGCTCTCCTAAACCTGGGTTTCAGAATATCTGTGCAGCTATTGAACTGCATGTAGTCTGCTTGTTAACAAGAAATGAAGCTGGAATCTAAGTCACTGCTAATTAAACTCATAATTACAAATGGAAGGTCAGACAGCAGATCCAAGAGCTGCTTGAAAATTTAATAAGACAAAAGAAAGAACAAATTCACATGTAATAATTCTGCCTTACTTAGACTGACCCATTAGAAGACCCCTCAGCTGCACACAGTACTGAAGGCAAATATTAGAATAATAAATGCAAATCATTTGGGTTTAAACTTAAACAAGATTGTTGAAGATTAGCAGAGGTTCTAAACATTACCTAGATTTCTTATTAAAAACAAAAACTGAGAATTGATTATTTACAAAGTTAGAACATGGATCACAGCTTCCTAACCTGAGCTCCAAAGCAGTTGCCATCAGTAGTTGCCTTTCCTTTTTCATACTGAACTAGATAACTTCTCTCTCCTCTGCCCATAAGGGGTCAGGAAATCTGCTTGTTGTGTCACTGCCCTGCCTGTGGATGTCCACACGCACAGAAATCCTGAGATAACCACGACGTTGCCTTTGTTCCCTGGTTGGGAGGTGGGGCACAGAGAAGGTGAGAAGTGCAGGAGGTAATTTGGACAAAGGGATGAAGAAGCAGCATTAAAAATCAATGGGGAGCAGAAGCACCAACCACTAGCAACTGAAAAATTGAGGCGGCCAAGGAAGGTACACCATATTTCCTGTCAGCTTTGACCTCCTGAGGGGATAAAGGTTTTCATGTGGGTCTCAAATTCCACATTTGGACACACCCCACCACCACATGACACCAGGATGAATGATGGGCACACGGGACACAGGAGGAGCAAGAAAGCATATGCTGTCATGCCAGACCAAAAAACCAGTAAGCCCTTGACGTTTTGAAAAAATCCAAGGAGAAGAATAGTTTTTCTTTCCAAGTTAAGCACGTCTCTTACTTGGGATCTAGACACCTGGACAAAAAATCCTGTTTGGGATTTACAAAGTAACTGTCGGGAAACAAATATAGGTGGCAGATCAAAGCTGCTTTCTGCCATTCCTCCTACACAGGATATTTCAACTTTCTGTGAGCCACAGGAAGCCTCTGAAACTCACAGCAGGGTGGAATAGCCTTGTGAGACTTGCCAATGCCAGATATAAAAAAACAAAAAACAGTCTTCCCTTATCAGCAGGCTTCCATCTGACACAATAATTCTAAAAATCTGCTTTCCAACAGTTCAACTTTGCTTCAGTGAATGTCTCACCAAGCCCCTTCTAATAAATATTGTTTAGTTATAATATGACACACTTGCTTTGCAGTGAAATTGTGGAGGCAGTGATCACTGGGTTGATTGACACCTAGTTATTCAATCAAAGATACTTCTATTTCACCAGTCACAGACCACACATGCCAAATTTGATACTGAAACAATTTCTATTAGGCGTTTTAGAGAGGGCTTGGGAAGAAAATCAGTGTTGTAATGAAAATCTTAACTATGCTGCAGCTACTGCAGTATCATAATACTTATTTCTCTCCTGCTGGCAATTTGGAGGCAGCAGCACTGAACACCAGAGGACTTCTCTATGGAGGAAGAGATAACAGCAGACATTTACTGAAAGGATGGGGGTTGTTTTCTCTTAACAATGGAAGTGTACACAGACAGATTTGGTAGTTCTCAGCTGGTGAGCAAATATTCAGCTCTAGCTCATTGTGGCTCTTTGGGTGGGAAAAATTGATTTCACATAAGTATTCCCTTCTGGGTTCATGCAAGACAGAATGCAGGCAAGCTGAGTGGCAGTGTTAGGCAAAAACATTCACTGCACATTATAGGATGTGAAGCCAGTTAGAATGGGGAGCTGAGGCACAAGGCCACAATTAATTCATGAAAGGCAGTAATTTACTTTCTTAGAAAAAAAAATTGTTCTAAATCTGACAAATTATTTTATAAACTGTTTCACCTAAAGAGTGCGGACATGAAAATCATAGCTGAGAGATGGATGAAGGTTCAACACAAGTTTCCAAAGAAACTATTTCTTTACCCCACCTCCTCTCACCAAGGCACTTCAGGAATGATTTGGGAACCTAAACCACAGCATCCAGGACCACTTTTGACATCAGGCAAGATGAACTATCCACATTGTGGCTGACAACACCCATTAGAGATCCCTGCCCTACAGACAAGTAGGGAATACAGGCAGTGAAACTTCTGGCAACTTACATTTCTTTTGGCATTTACATTCTGGCACCTGAATTACGCTGTTGATGTTTTCTTACTTCTACATCCTCAGCTTGTATAAGGGGATGTGATAAAGGGACCTGGGAAGTGGCAGCTACCTTTAGGTATAGAAAGGCATTTAATTACTATTCTCCAGCTGCCATCTCTAGCAGTAGAAGGGTGCCTGAGTTCAATACTTGTGAAACAATTCTGAGCAGGTCCTTTACCCAAATAATTTATCTCCTCAAGATTCTTAGCAATGTCCTTTCATTTTAATAAGAAGGGGATTTAAAATCTCTTGTAGATGTTGTAACAGCTCATACTCAAAGGCCTCCTCTAAAAATCCATAGTTCTGCTCTTAAACCTCTTTTTTTTTTTTTGGAGATTCCTCATGTAATTACACTGCAACTTCTGTCCTCCTCTGAACTTTGCTAAGTTTTGGAAAGTACTGATTAGACCAAACAGAAAATTTCTTCTGCAGTGAAAGAAATAGAACCTTCAGAAATTTTTAAGAATATCATTAGTCAAGCTTTCTGGATAGCCATTTGTGCCTTGCTTTTCAAGAGCAATTTATTCACTGAGCTTAACCTTATTCCAAGGACATCCAGGCATCATACATGGATAGTTTTATTCTACATTGTTTCTCATGTTATTTCCAGAAATTACTTGGAGTACTTATTTGTGTTACTGTTAAAAACCATTTATTATGGCCAAACTAACAGAAAGTGAATTTAAAACCAAAGCCTGTTAAGGTATTGTCCTGATATAATGATGATGATTATGATACATCCACATAAAGCACTACAATATCTGCAAATGAACATTGGGGCAAGCTAAAAATTGGAAATTCTATTGAACTCATGTTTAGAATAAATGGACTTATGTCCTCTGCAGAAAGTAAAATGCCAGCCTCACCTTAGTGACAATTCTTCTGTTTCAAGAAGAGAACACAAACATTCAGTGCCAGTCTTCCCAATGCAATCCCAAATGAGAGCAGCAGCTTACCTGTGCTCTAATACCTGAAATCCTTGGCTCAGCACTTTCTAGAAGAAGAGCCTGTGCTGCACTACTACTGCTCCACTCCATTACTACCACATCAAACATGAGATATCAGGCTCTAACCTTGTCAGCACTGTGTGAAATTTCAATGGCCCTCCCAGTACTCCACACAAGTGTGAAGGTGGAAGTTTTGTCCACATTTTGTTGGAAAAAAAAATTAAAATCTTAGGCCTTTAAATCTGAAGAAAAAAACCCCAAGTTACATGCACACACAAATTGCAACCAAACAACCAGCAGGACACGAGAGACCTCTCTTCTGGAAAAATACAAAACTAAAGTGCCATTGTCCCCTCCATCAGAACTGCTTGAGGGCTGTTGGAGCGAAGGTGAAGAGGGGGAGAGGAGAGAAAAACAGCCACTGCAAATAAGCAGAGTATTTTATTAGAGAGTTATCTCCTTCTTGCAAGAATGAGCACTGAAATGGATAATACCTTCCTGTGAAATCCAGGTTTCCAGCTTCGTGTTAAGAAGAGGCTCTTACCTTATGGGATTATCCATCCTTGATACTGTGAGAAATGCTGCTAAATTCGCTGTGTAGGAAGAGCACACAATAAGGGTGAAGAGCCACCAGCTTCCCATTACAATGCGCATAGCCACAGAATTGACAGTGGATTCACCCCCTACAAATAAACAGAGAAATGGAGGGTCTCTCAGCAACTTCCTTTTGCAATCCCCCTCTATGTGCCCATGTATGTTAAACTTTGTTAAGTTCCTCTCTGCTTCGCCTCCAGTCTGCCCTTTTCACTGTGGGAAAAGCACTGCTTCTGTTCAGGCTGATCATTCACAAGTATTTTTTCCAGTCTACCTCTTGCCCTAGCCAGTGTTCTAGAAAATCATCTTTCAAAATATTTCCCTTGAGAATTATTGAGGATCAAATCTAAAGAACATGAAAAATGTTCTAAATAAAGTTGAATAATAAAGGAGAAGCATAACTAATATGCAGGAATTAAATCATTACAGTGTTCAGATTATAGTAATATTCTGTTTTCAATTACCCTTTCAGAACTGGAAAAAAAGTCCCACAGAACTGCCTAATGGTTTGTGTGCTATCTTTGCTGTATTTAAATCTGCAAAACTGAAGCATTAGTGTCATTACTTGTTACCCTTTACAAGGTTTCAAATCATGTGAAGGTTTCTTTCCAGCAGTCTTCAAGCACAGTTATTCTTGAGTATCATTGGAGACTAAACCTTACCATAGAGCTGGTTCTACTCACTTCAGCATATGTTTGCGCTGATTATATTTTACTGCACTTAAACCCATCAAGGCTGCCACCTTAATGAGATCAGGGACCGAGTTTCATAGCAATATGATGGATTTTCCAGCTGAAGCTTTAGAAGCTTGCAATCACAATGAAAAAAATGTAGAAAAAGTTAACAACTGCATCCATATGTCAGCATTCAATAAAACTTGCCTTCCAAGAATACAATTAACATAATAGATATGGCACAAAACCTGTGTGGGCAGATTTTGCAAACTATTAGTTGCAAAATGACTTTATTAATGGCAGCAGTCCTACTGAATTCAGTAGGATTTGTCCTATGCTGAGAGATTCCTGAGTGTAAAGTTAGTTATATACTCAGTTCAAACAACCAAGAGATGAACTATCTCACATGAGTTCAAAAACATATATATTTCTAAGTCATGCATTTTTTCATCAAAATGCACTTCACCACTCCAGTGGATGCAGGAGGTTGCATGAGCTGACACATTTCTATTTCTATTTATACATCAAACAATTAAAAAGATGCTAGTTTCAGAGCTGCATAAGTGCTGCAATTCTGCACCAAGCAGCTCTGTAGTTTATTTCCAATGTAACAACTTTCCCAAAGAGGAAAAGCCTGTAATGCTTTTTCTGGACTTAGTGAGAGACAGAAATAGCACAAAAAAAAAACCATGAAGCCCCAAACTTGCCTACCTTTCCCACTTTTGCTCATCTGGGCTAATAAAACATAACACTTGCCCATCCTTCTGTTGCACCTGTAGCCCGCTGTGGGCAGGACTGAGCTGTGCTGCCCGCTCTCCCCGTGCAGAGCTGCCTGTGGGCAGTTGCTCAGTACCTTGCTGCACGAAGGCTCCGTACACGACCCAGATGGCACTGTGCAGGGTGGAGGACACGGAGGGGCTGGGCTGCGCCGCGCCGGGCGCCCGCACCGCCTGGATGCGGTTCAGCACGAAGATCAGCACCCCCACGATCGGGATGGCCGCAGCAATGCAGGCCCACACCGCGAAGTCGAAAGGAGCGAAGAGGGAGAAGATGTTGATCTTCTCCTCGGGCTTTTTGATTAAGATGCCCACGGAATAGTCCATGTAGCGCTTGCTGAAGTCCACCACGCTCTCCCGCTCGGGTGTTATGGTGATGGCTGAGATGGCCAGGTCTGCTCTCTGCAAGACAAATGCAGCACGTCACGTCACTCCCTGCCACCAGGAGTTTGGACAGCAGGAGAAGCTTTCTAGGAACCATGGCTTTCCTTCTATAACTTAAAACATTTAGATTCATTTATATAAATTCTCTAAAAATAAAATCAGAATCACTTTCACCATTCAAACATTAGTTAATTGCACTGGTCCAAAGAAAAGTAATGAAACATAACCTTTCAAGGTACTCTTGAACAGAAAGCATGACCCTGACTCCTCTCTGGAAGAAGGGTAGCATATTTAACCTTTATCCCTCATTTATTTTCCAAAGGAGGCTTAAAATTCCAAACCATATTAACCCAGACCATAAAGAAAGAAACACCATTTATTTAGCTTGTGTATTTGTTAGCAGGGTGGGAAGAGCTAATATTTGTTTTTCTCCCTGCAGTATTGCCAACTTTCCATATTCATGAAAAGATTTCATAGGACAACCGGGGAGAAGATTTTGTTTGTTTTTTAAAATGAATAAAGTGATGGAAAATCTTGTAACAGGAAGAATGCACAAAGGCAACTTTGTTCCTGAAACTCTTTGGCTTCAATATTTAAAACAAGCAGGTTTTGCATGCAAGTAATCCTTAAAGAGTATGCACTCTCGATGAAGCGTAAGCTAGGAGTTAATAAATAAGGTTCCCAAAGCTTTTGAAGAGCTTCAATTAGATTTTCAATATTTTCTGTCTTAATAAAAAGTGGCCTCTTCAAAAAAAAACAGAATATACATTCAGTTTCCTATTGCTAATTGTGTTGGGAACGTAAAGCAAATATTAGATGAGGGAGGTTTGCTTTGAAACCCTTTGGAGTCTGTGGAACAAATGGTTGCAGAAATACCATTTAAAAATAGCATAATAGATATTTTATTGCTTCAAAGAAAGCAATTTCCAAAGAAATTTAACAGGAGTTCTTACCTTATTTTTAAATCCATTAAATTCAAACAGTTTATGTCAATGCAAAATAAGTTTAAAATTCTTTATGCTCCCTAGCACCAACCAAGAACATCCCATTATCACACACATGTTTGCAATAGCTTTAATTGCTTCTATTTCTTCCTAAACATCTCCTTACAGATACTGAGCCACCTATTTACAAGATAATGAGAAAGCTTCACTTTCAGTAATAACCTCCACTGAAGAAGAGTAACCTTTTCTACAAAAAACAGCTACATGGAATATTAATTCCTTTGATTCTTCTTCTTGATTAACGCTTGTCCCACATGAGATTGCAAGAACATGGAACATGAACAAAATACACTTATTGCATTCTCTGGGAGATTCCAGCCTACAAAGTCTATCCATTTACTTAAATGGATTTCAATTAACTTACTAGATTTGGAATACTGTAATTAAGAAATTTGGTCTTGTAATTTTTAAATGAATGAATAATCTTGAGACCAGTTTAAATTCTGATGCCCTATTAGTGGGGCTACCTTTCCTGTTTGGGAGTCAAATTTATTGTCGTTACTCATTGGTCTTTATTAAACATATCATCACAAAATGACAAAGTCCCATCTACAAACAACTTTCAAAGACAAAATGATAAAAAATAAAACACGAGTTTTAAGGAGAATACCTTATTTTTTCCTCTATTTTCTATATTTCATTCCCTCACACACACAAACATGACCTCTATTCTTATAGCAACGTAAACACATAGATTTACACCAATATAATTTATGTTGAGAGCAGCTGGAAGCAAATAAAACAAGAGACTCTCTAGTTCCTACCCTGTATAGAGTCTTAAATTGTAGTTTATGTCACATTCAAACTACCCATAGCTCAGAAGCATTCTGCACTGGTGCGTTCTGGTCCTAATTTCTTCTGCAATTTTTTTCAATGCAACTTCTTCTCTGTGTACCTTGTTAATGAGTTCTCCAATCATGCCATTCCAGGAGCTGTTTTGGAGCTGGTGTCCATACTTGCCATCAGGAGCTTGATATATCTCATACTTGAAGCCCAGATTCTTGGCTAGTGCATCCAAGACATCAATGGAAAATCCTTTATATCGTTTTGGCTGCCCAAGGATGTTCTCTGCCACCATCACAAAAGGTTCTTCCTGAGAACAAAACAGTATCTTAACTGACACTTGAAACAAGATTTTTAGTTTACTTCTCTGAGCAAAAGAGTGTTTTCTGAGTTAATTTTGGACAACTTGGCACAGATTTTGAGACATCCATAACCTTCTGAGGCAAAAAGTGGGATACTGTGAAGCTTCCCAACCAGACACTACTGCCCCAGCACTCGACTACTATCCATAGCTTTGGTATTTCCATAGCTCTTGAGAAGGAGCAGAGGGTCCAGAATAAATTCAACCTCAGATTGAAAAAGCCATCTTTTATATACAAGGTTTCATCTTATATCTAGGACACACACTAAAACATGAGCTAAAACCACTGCAACTTTGTGAACATCTAAAATTTTGAGAACTCAAAGAATAACCGTCATGGGTACAGGTTTCTGGAGTATTTTAAGAAGTCTGTTTTAGGACCAAGGAAATGCAGCATTTTGTGGTTTCTGCTGGGGATGGGTGTCCTGCTTTCCTGCAGATCCCAGGGATTTTGGTGGCACAGCCACAGCAGTTGACTGCCTTGATGGCCTGGTACTGTCACAGAATGGATCTGCTCACCTCTCACACCAACTACAGCATAAATTGAGGAAAGAAAATTGGGGGCTGGAGGGAGTGCCTTCATGTACATATGTACTGTTAGATAGTGCCTATTTCTACCATGATTCAGAAAAAGGGAATTGAAAATAACAAAAAAAGACATCATATTCTGCAATCTGTAGACTACAATATCTTAGCCAGGAATGCATTCAAGCCCTAATTTGCCCCTAATGTAGCACTTGGCCAACAGGAGCTCTTTACCGCTCCAGAGTTTAACAGACAGTAGTCCCAAAAGCATAATAATTTTTTTTGAAAGATGACACCTTTCTAAAAGATATAGTTTATCTCAATGGGAATTTATGAGCTTGATGCAGGGAACACTTGATTAAATTTTACAGCCTGCAGCATACAAGAGCCAAGATTAGATTATCATAATTGGTCCATCTGATCTTAAAATCCATGAAATGCTGAAAACTGCCTATCCAAGCTCAAGGATGGTATCTGGAATGCACCCCTGTGCACTGAGGCCCTATGCTGGTTCTATGCCTAGTAGGAATTACAATGCAGAAAAACAGCATAAGCAAACAAACAAATGTTCTGTATCACTGACAGTGCACAGCTTCACATAAAATAATAAAGGGCCATCATCTATCTTCCTTGTTATGTAACTGATCATCCAAAAATACAGAACTGAAAATGATAGGGGAAAACACTGCGGGAAGTGCCCAAAATATTCAGTCAGATCCTTTTTATTTTGAGCATTTTGTTTCCTGAACTCAGAAAGGATCATACCAAGACAGTCACCACTTTGAGTGTCACTCCCTGCAAGTCGTTGCCCAGACGTCGCTCTTGCAGGCTGCCGTTCAGGCCCTTCTCAGAGTCCCACGTCGCCAGCTGGAACAGAAAGCAGCGAGTCTGAAGCACTGCCAGGCAGGAATCCTTCAGCATTTACAAAATGTTTAACAGCAGCTTGACCAAATCCAGAACGTATAGAGGGAGGCTGAGAGGTGTGTGGTTTTCTTTCATGCAGAATCAGAATGAGTGTGACTCAGAGGACAGACATAAACACATGCCTTGCCTGAATACATGTTCAGATTGGGAGCAATATAAATTATCTGCTATCTGTAGTATTTATCACATCATTTCATTTAGTTCACTCTGAGATTACACTTCTCCTCAGTAAGTTTATATTGTCTGAGGGTCATCAGGATTACCTATGGTTGCACTATCCCAGATTTCCCGCTCTGTTCAGATTCCTATTTTCAAATACCCTATATTTATCAAAGACCAACATTTTTTTCCACAGTGTTTTAGCTCACCTACAGTCACAAATTCTTGACACAGGTTCTGTGGTGTCAAACTGTCTCAACTCACATTTTCTTCAGCTCCTGTCTCAAATCCTCTTTTCTCTGTTGTCCTACTTCTACCTGATCTCTAAAACAATTACAGCCTCTTGAGCTCCCAGGCTCCTGATGAACAAGTATGTCATATCTACCAGATGTACCACATGCATGTTTTCAGGATATCTTCCTGGAACATTACATCTAAATATTTTATTTTTCAATTAAATGTGTATTTTAAAAAATAATTTTACTGCATTTTCTGAAGAGAGATGCAGTCCAATTCAATAGAACAGGTTCAATAGAAAAGTCAATTTTTAGTGACCTTTGGATTATTCAAACTACATATGCTCCTCAGCAGCAGCAGCAGCAGTCAGACTCCTTTTGCCTTCAAACAGAATCCACAGTGTCATTTTGTTCAGAAGAGACATAAATAGTATCAAGTAGAAACTGTTTTCTTCTTCTTTTTTTTTTTTTAGCTGTACTCTTAAACACCAATACTATGCTCACATATTTGGAAGCAGTGTTGTTAGCTGAAGGCATGCCCTGTAGAAATTAAACACAGTCCAAGATCTGTGAAATGTGGATTCCTCCTGCCAGAAGCTAATTTTCATGTAACAAGTCAAAATCTTCTTGGAAAGAACTTATTTCACTGAAAATGCTTATGGCTAGATGTCTTACATGATTTATTTCTATGACTTCAGTTTTATCCTAAAGCCTCACAAATCAAATCAACAAATAAAATGTGATGGAAGAGATCTGTATAGTTTTATTTCTGGTTTGTTGCATTAAACTGATAAACAGGGAACTAGAAAAGAACAAGACATTCAGTAAATATTCAGCAACTATCACAACTGATGAAAATTATTCCACAGTCACTAAACCTTGAAAGCTGAGATGCAGGAGAGGAAAGACTTAAGGTAAACATCCTTTTATCCACATGACCTGGAGGATGGAGGAGGAGAATGTATGAATAATTTTCAGCTTTCTAATGACACTTCTGGAAGGGAAAATATCTCAGAGGGAACACTCTCCTCCTGTGATGGCAGTTTGGAGTGACAGAGGAGTGTCTGCACATCAAGTGTCTGCAGCAACACAGGCAGATAAATAACTGTAGCTATGGTATCTTTTGAATTTGAATTTAGATGCTTGCTCTGAAATATTTCCAGATATTCCTCAGCCCTTGCTACTGCAAAACCAAATGGACATATCTTTCCTTTGACATAAATCAACATGGTTCAACAGACTTCAAAGATCAGTGTAGGTGTGTATAGCATCTATTATGTCTCAAATCTGTAAAGAAAGCTTACTGTTTAAACGTTCTTCACTTGTCCTAGGCATAGGATCAAGATTTTTGCCAAAATGGCTTGCAAAATCCACAGGTGATGATTAACTAGTCTTTAAATATGGGAAATGTAACACATTCAATTACTACTTCATCACTGGTGGACTGACACGTGCACCATTCAAAATCTGATTTCATATGAGGGTCCTAGACTTCTCAAATACTCTGCTTCATATTCTGCATTACCTCAAAGAGTTCTGGAAAATACTGGAGACAAGACAGTGTAAACCCATTAATTTTTAATTTTTTTTTTTAAACGGAGCACAGTGAGATCCTTCTTCCATTCAGCACGGCTAAGTGCAAGGAGAAGGGGCATATTTTGCTTCAGAACAGCACTCCAGAGTACAAACATTTCAGCCTCTTAAAAGCAAACTACAGAGATAAAAATCATAAATGGAACATAAGGAAAACCATTTTCAGAAAGGATTTTCCCTGTGTATCCTTGTGCTTTGGAACACTTCATTTGTTAAGAACTGTGGCAATTTTATCTTCTACTTCTTGCAGACAGAATGATGTTTATAGGATTGATGTATTTACAGATATGTATATCAATTTGTGACAGCTGACCTGTCAAGATCAGTGCCTGAGAAACTAATTTCCAGCACGGTTACACACCATGAGTACTGCTGTTAAGGCCATTAGAGTTTCATTCTTTGTAGAAATATGTACAAATTTCCTACCAGAACTCTGAAACCAAAGGTTATAGCACAGCCATCAGCTGATAGGAGATAAAGGGCCTTTAGATCTGATTATGAGAAACAACTGCTTGCAGAATCAGCACTTGCAAGATGTGTTAAAAAAAAAAAAAAAAAAAAAACAAAACAAAACAAAAAACATAGTTCTCTGGAACATGTATTTAATGGCAGTCTGGGTAGGATGTTTTGATTCTCAAGTTACCTGGTTATGTGAGTTCAAGTTTTGAAATCAGCTACTTTATGAAAGATTTTCAACTTAAAGCTTTCTAGCTTTTCTTTCTGTTCTTTTTTCAGCCCTGTTGCTGGGAATCCTCTAGTTCTAGACATACAGCAGAAGTTAACCATCCAGTAAAGGCTACCCAGAGGAAAGAAATGTGGAATTCTGACAAAAAGGTAATTTGCTGGAAAATCCTGACTCAAAACATGCCTCCAATTTTAGTCAATATTTACTGCATTTTCAACTAGAACTGTAAGGAAAGGTTTGGAGAGAGAAAATAAGAATTTTAACATTGTTTTCGCCCTCCACAAGCAACGAGGATGAAACAGACACTTACTCAAAACACAAGCAAAACAAATATCTGTCACAGGCCCAACCAAATGGAGATGCAAATTATCCCAAACTACTAGTAAATACAGTTGAAACCAGACAATAGCAAATAAAGTGTTCAGTGTGTCTATCACAGTACTGAATGTGATTATCTACACTATTTTAGTTTACAATGCAGTACTTACTGTCCAAATAATACATGTCACTGCTATCTAACACAATTTTAAGTATGATACCATCCTAAACCTGGTCTGCTTTCCAGGAAAACCATGATTCACATGAGAAATAATCAAGATAATTCTCAGCAGATGCATATTAATGTTTGAAATGGTGACAATCTATCCCACGGCTAGAGAGAAGTCCAAAACATGTTAAAACTATGAAGCAAAGGACTGAGAACCCAGTCTCAAACAGTATATAAACTCCCAGTCTTTGGGTGAAAATTTTATGCTGCTCAATGCTCAGTTTGCCATTGAGGGGCACCATAAGGATTGCATCTACTTGATAAAAGGTCAGAAAGGGGCAGGGAGACCGTGAAAAGCTGCATAAAGTTAGAAAAAGGGCAGAGGGAAAGGCTGTCTCCCTGGGATTGCTTTGCCACTGCTGCTTCTACAAGGGGACCCTGGCTTTGTGTCCAGGACAGCAAAGGACACTGATGTGGCTGTTGATGCTTTAATGAGTCTTTAAGAATGTAAGACCTTCAGGGAAAATAATTCAATTTATTCCAATTTTAGTGCAATTTTTTTGCAAATTTATGGTACTATATGGATGATAATAAAATTTCTCAAGAGAATCACAGGAAGATAAGCATGAGACAGTAAGACCTAGAAATTACTAAGTCATTCTGGAGAAACTTGACTGCTTTTTCAATAGTACTGCAGAATTAATAGGTAGCTGAAATGAAGAGGACAGTATGCTTGTATCTGAATTTTAGGTTTATTTCATACACAGTCTTATGAACCCTCACCTAGGGCAATCTGTCTCCTGAAAAAGACAATACCACCTGATTTACAGATTAGCTTCTATGGAACAATGGAGAATGATGTATCAAGATGAGAGGAAAAGTTCTGAATAGCTCAGAGCAAGTCAATATTAAGATTGGCTTGACTTAATAGCTTTTTTACTGTTTTGGAGCAGGAAATAGGAAATCACTAATATTAAAATGCCTAGGATGCAAAGATATCTCAAAACTGGAGAGTGCTCAAAATATATCAAACTATAACAGTGAGAAAAATAAATAGGAGTGGTAAGAACTCCAACATCAAACCATAATACACATCCTGCATAAGTAAAAGTGAACACTGGATGGAACAGAAAAATGGGAAATAGGCATACTTCAGCTGAAGAAACACACACAGAAATCAACGATCAAGCTGTGCAGGATGACAATGAGATGCAAATGATGATGAGCTTGTAAAACAGTACTGCTGCACAAGTAGCAGTGTGGTCCTGGACTCCACATCTCATGGCACGGGCTGGACAGAGCAGCCACAACACAGCTGAGAAGGATGTACATTCTTAACGCTGTGGTTAGCATCTCTCTGAACATGAATTAGGTATGCTGGAAGAAGATCAAGGGAGAACAAGACAACTGCTACTGTGATGGAAGATTCAGTTCACACAGAAAGGATAAAAGATGCAACTGTGAATATTGAAGATAATGATAACCAAGAAAAGGGAAAATTAGCAACAAAACTAGATATAAGGCAACAGAACTACTGCTGCAAATGTACTGTAATCTACAGAGACCCTTTCACGGGAAATATAAATTGTTTCCTAGAAACATTTATTCATTCTCAGCGAAGACTGTTAAATGAGAAACAGATAAAAGGGCAGTGATTTTTTTTTTTAGTATTTCTAAGCAAAACAGTTTTTCATGGGAAGGGTTTGGCACATCCAGTATATGAGGTACATAGATAAAGGAAATCAAAGAACCCTCTGGTAGTTCTTGAATTCACCAGAGATAC